CAAACTCCTGTACACAGCTGATTGTGCTGTAGTTGCAAACACAAAGAAGGATCTACAAATGGCCCTTACTAGCTTCTGTAAGCTTCAGAGAAGCAAACTGAGAACATCAACAGAACAAAAGTTCTTCACAGTCAGTCCCCGGATAGTAATTGGACCCAGCAAGGGAGATCTCCATTGATGAAGTAGAATGGAAAATGTAGAATACTTTGCCTACTGTGGCAGCCATCTCTCTCAGAGGGCAGACACGGATGTCAAGATTCAGCAAAGAATCTGCTGCACTAGCCTTGCCTTTGGCAGAATGTCTTGCCAGGTATTCAACAATCACAACATCAGAACACATACTGGACTTTTAGTTTAGAAAGTGGTGGCAATCCCAACCACTCTCTATGGCTGTGAGACTTGGGTGACTCAAGAGAACACACCTGGAATGCCAGCACCAACACTTTCTTCAAAAGAACCTCAGCATCAAGTGGGAGGATCATGACATTAATGTCAGTGCCTCACAGAAGTCAACGTGCGTGTTGAGGTCCTGATTATTCAGCACCAGGTGAAACAGGTGCTACATGTGCATACCTGGTATATGCATACCAGAACAACTGCTATGGCCAATCTGTCAAAGGAGAAAAGGAAAGGGAAGGTGAAAAGAAATGTTCTAATGGAACCCTCAAGATGAATATCAGGAGATGTGGCACTGGCAGCACACAATGGGAGACAGTAGTCCAGGATATTGATAATTGGCAAAGACTTGACAGAGAGGGAACATCCTCACTTTTGAGAAAAAAACTGCCTTGCTTTGGTTGAAAAAAAAATAGCAGAAAAGAGAGACAACTGTCAACGGAAAGCATGGCCCAACGTACCTGTAATGTCTGCCAACAAGCCTGTGGGTCAAATATGGGTCTCCTCAGTAACCTATCAGAGGGGTAGCCATGTTAATCTGAATCTGCAAAAGCGGCGAGGAATCCTGTGGGTCTTTGCCCATGAAAGCTTATGCTCCAACACTTCAGTTAGTCTTTAAGGTGCCACAGGACTCCTCACCACTTTTTCTCAGTAACCTAAGAACCCATGAAAATAAAACTTGTGAAGGATCATCCTTAACCTCAAGGAATCCACCAATGAATACCCCATCCTCAGCAGATATACAAAAGAATGGCTTATAATGTGAAGAGACAAAAAGTGCATCTTCACCTATAGCTTCATGCCCACGGACAGAATGTTTATCTGTTGTTCTAAGGTCAAGGTCACCATTCGGTGGGTTAGAAGAGCTTCAGTTCCAGACACATCAGTTTTTGTTTGTGATGTAACACTAAGGATTGACTTCAAAATAAAGAAGAAACCCCCTACTAAGAAGTTATCAAAAGCACAAATGCAACTGAGACACATAGCTCTAAATGTAGATTTTCTCCATCATACAGGGCCTAAGCATGTTTAGAAAGTGAGTGCTATCTTATGAATATAACCAATTACATTTTAGGTAACATGCTTCCAGAGAGTCTGAATAAATTAGTGTCTAGTAATATGGGGAAGCAATTCAGAACACTGCAGATCTATCAAAAAAGAGAAAAAACAAAACAAAAGAAAGACCAATTTTTATTATACATATAATTCATTGACTATTTGAGGTGAGTTAATGTATATGAGATTTTTCTTTTAAAATGAGTATTTGCACATTAGGACATTGTTTCATTCCAAATGCTGAATGTCACCCTATATTGTCTATGTGTTAGGTTAAATAACACACTGTGATGAATTCATAGGAGGAATAGTACACTATGCAAAATTACACATTTAGACAGAGCCAGATGACCAAACTTGGGCCTTTTTAAAATTTGACAGCTTATTTCACAAGACACTCAGAAAAGGTCAAAGATGGATTACTACTATACTGTTTGCCCATAGCTATAGTAGCCCAAACTCTTCAATATGATATCTTATTGTGGTATTGGCCTTTGTATTGAGTTGCTAGAAGAAGGTTGTAGCTTGAAGGCTTTAGCGACTGGTATTTGGAAACCATTTTTATACTGTATATTATAAACACAATGATTCTGCTTTCATGCCGGTTTTTCTATGGATCGGAATGCGCAGTTGACCTAAATTAGCACATTTCTTGATTTTCTGAGAACAGAATTTTGTCCAATATGTGTGACTGGATAGATAAATTAGCAGTGATTATGGTGTGTCAGTTAATGTACATATATGTCTAAGCAAGTGCATGTTCATAAACATACTTTATGGTTTGCAACAACAGTTGTCATGGCAACTTACTACTGTATACTTGAGCTTTAACATTTTGGAGTTCATCCAGAAAATATAGTTTGTACAATGAGAAATAAACTTGCTTACTTATTCTTTGAATTCTTCTGATACAGATATTTCAAAAAAGCAAAAAGTTATGGAAATAGTTAAAAACAGAAAATTATATTAGTCTGTTTTTATTATAAGCCATGCAAAAAATGATTAAGGCAGTCCATCAGAATAGGGCAAAACACTAATAAAGCTCAACTCTAAATCTTGCCCTTTCCGGCTCTATAATCTGTTATTTCTACAGGTCTCACATCAGGGTTGAAGCTGATAAAACTCAATTAAATCCCAGTGAGCAAACAACTGAGAATGAGATTTTATAGAACGTATGTTATAAAAAAATGAAATTTTTCATTTTTGTAGTGTTGACTTATTTTTTCACAGGGAGTCAGTAGGTCCTGTGGTGATAACATCTTCTCTCTAAATATCTAAAAGCACTATATCAATATCAGTGAGTTTAAAAGTGTTTCTACTCTAAAACATGGCTCCGTAAAAGACATTGTGAGGGCTCTATAGTCATTGTTTCTCACATTCATTTCCATATCAAATTTGCTCAGTTTAGAAACTGAGACTCAAGCCCTTAGAATCTAGTCATTCTTTTCATCTTATGTATCATTACCAGTCTTACAGGGTCTTCTGGCCAAATTTTACCCTCAGTTGCATCTATGCAATTCTCATTTTCTTCAGACGAGGTCCTAAGGGCCAAGTTTTCAAAAGAACTCAGCACACACAAATGGGATTCACCTTCCATTTTAGGCAAGAAAATAAAAGGTGGCCAGATTGGATGGCAAGCTGGTTTAGAACATGCAACCATTGGCACCACAATGCAGGGGAGCCCACAGCCATGGCAGGCCCTTTGCCAAGTGTATGGGGAGGGAGGCAGGGCTTCAGGCAGAAAGAGCGGGGCCTGGACCACAGGGATCCCCTATTGCTGCCTAGAGTGTGCCGCATTGTGCCCCCATATCCTCAGGCAGCCCTAAGAGCATCCTGGAGCATGATAAATGGCACTTAACTGGCAATTTAAAGGGTTGGAGCGCCGCGTATCATTGCTGTGGCAGCAACAGCAGCACCCAGCTCCCTAAGCCTCCTATGAATCACCAGGCCCTAGGCTAGTTGACCCCTTCCCCCCCACCTTCAGGGGGCTTGTCATAATGGGTGCTCCTGAGGTTCATTTTGAAAATCAGGTCCTTATAAAAATACATATGTGGGAGCTGAGCTCTCTTAAACATCTGGCCTCAGTTAGGGACATTGCAATGGCAGATGTTCTGTAGAGAAACAGGGTTTTGTAAATCATGTACTTTATAGTGCACGACAATTTTGTTTGAAGTCTGATAGGCTGTTTCAGTAGATTGCTGTGATTTGAAATCTTTTATTCTTTTCAAAAATTATTTCTAAACTCTATTTTGCCATATAAAGTGGGTTCATCCAATATGTGACCCAGAAAATGCTAGGTCGTAGATAAAGGAAACATATTCATGTGTAACAAGCAGGAGAAGGTAGGTAACAGTGCAGATGTCACTCAGATATCCATCATTGTGAGGAGTTAATATGTGTATCTGCATTTCATTCTAATTGATGGGTCTCTCTGATGTTTGAAAAGCATTAAATTGTTGATGCTTATGTGATGGAATGTCTATTGTCAAAGTATGGATGAAAACTGAACCTCATCACTGCAGTCAGTTTAAAAATGATTTGTAGAGAATTGACTTTGAATGTTTGTATTAGAGGTCAGAGTTCCACTTAGAAGGCTCACACAGCTGTGGAAACGTCTAGAATTGCTAGAGTTATGTTTTGCTATTAAGAAAATGGTTTAGGTAAGAATCCCAACCTGGCAGTAATTTTGATTCATTAAAATGGAAAAACTAACTGGAGCAAAACAGCTGGGACAATTTCTAAGTAAATTCATCAGTCATTCAGAAACTATGCATTTTAATACCTGTAAATAATAGAACAGTCTATCCAAATGGAAGCCTTTTATTGATATGTAAGTGAAGTTGAGTGTCACCCTCACATTTCCAAACTTTAATCCAGCATTCTTTTGCCTTTGCAGTCATCTCACTAAAGCTTTTTTATTTATATTTGCTTTACCTTTATTTTACTTGTTTATTTGTATTACAAGACTTAGAAGTCCAAGATATTGTCTAGGTCCCCATTGTCCTACACAGTGCATTTTACTTCAGCAGCATGATTTTGATATCAAGTGAAACGAAACGTATGTATAGAAGTTGACATACACAATATGCAATAGCTCCAAAAAGATGTCAGAGTATACTGATACATATTTGTTTTGGAAACTTTGAAAATACATCATTGGTTCTCACTGAATTAATTCTATAGTAGAGAATTATAGAAATTAAAGAGGCAGAAAAACATGGTAGAACAAATTTCTTGGTTAATACTGGAATGTTTCCTAAAGTCTCTCTCTCTTTTTTAATGTTAAGACAGTTACTACTTGATTACCTGTTCTTCAGTACCAAATAGAAAATGTATAATGCCACTGAGAAGAAAATTAAAGAAGGCTATGTTTAGGAAGAATTCAGCATTGTGGCCTCAATTCTTTCTTTAAATATGAACACACAGTTCCCTCTAGGTGTGTTCCAAGTCACACACTGTTGCATATGGAGACAAAACTGGCATCCATGAACATGTAAGTATTTTCTACAGACATCAAAGCTTAACACTGTTTTTTGTCATTTTTATAGGTAAAAAAATGGCTTATCACAAAGTGAATGCAGACCAGAGAACACAGGGGCACTCTCAGTACCTTGACAATGATGACCTCCAAGCCACCACGTTGGAACTAGAATGGGACATGGAAAAAGAACTGGAGGAGCCTGGCTTTGACCATTTCCGAGTAGATGGTGCAATCGATCAGCATTCGGGAAATTCACAAAACACCAACATTGATCTTGAGCCTATTCAGCCCTCGGCATCCCCTAAAGGAAGATTTCAGCGTCTTCAGGAAGACCCGGACTATGTGTCACATTATACAAGATCAGCCCCAAAGAGCAACCGCTGCAACTTTTGTCGAATATTTAAACTCTTTTGCACTGCTTTGACTTTATTTATTTTTGGAATTTTAATAGGATATTATGCCCACAAAAAATGTCTGCCTTCTCCTACTCCTTCAGAACCAAGTGACCCTCACTTCTACCATGAGATTCTCAAGGAAATCAAAGCTGAAAATATTCAACAGATTTTCAGGTATGTGTCTTAAGTTGCTATTGATAGCGTTGTTAGCTAATGTTCTGACAATATGTAAATGCTTTTAGTTTTTTCTATGCAGCATGTTGTTTGAAAACACTGAATTCTGCTGCTCATGTTCAACTTTCTCATGATGTATGTGACACTTCCATCAGATATACTGGTGAGGGACTTAGAATGGTTGCAAATGTGCATACCATTAATGTGGAACCTTGTTTAAAATAGTGATAGAAATGTAGCCGTGTTAGTCTGGAGTAGCTGAAGCAAAATGCAGGACAATGTAGCACTTTAAAGACTAACAAGATGGTTTATTAGATGATGAGCTTTCGTGGGCCAGACCCACTTCCTCAGATCAAATAGTGGAAGAAAGTAGTCACAACCATATATACCAAAGGATACAATTAAAAAAACCTTGTTTAAAATAGTGATAGAAATGTAGCCGTGTTAGTCTGGAGTAGCTGAAGCAAAATGCAGGACAATGTAGCACTTTAAAGACTAACAAGATGGTTTATTAGATGATGAGCTTTCGTGGGCCAGACCCACTTCCTCAGATCAAATAGTGGAAGAAAGTAGTCACAACCATATATACCAAAGGATACAATTAAAAAAAATGAACACATATGAAAAGGACAAATCACATTGCAGAACAGGAGGGGGATTGCCATCTGGGAGGTCCATCAGGGGCTGTCAGTAGCCAGGAGGCCCTGCGGGAGAGCTTCCACCCTGAGGAGCACTAAGAGTCTCCCTGGTCTGCCCCAATGGGGGCTTGTGCCTCATTCCTCCCTCACATCCTTCTAGTTACCCCTCCCTAACCCCCCTTCCTGATGTCAAATAAAATACATGTATTTTCAAGAACACAAACTCTCTTTAACACAAAACACAAAATTCAGTCCCCCTACCTGTATATATTGTTGTGACTATTTTCTTCCACTATTTGATCTGAGGAAGTGGGTCTGGCCCACGAAAGCTCATCATCTAATAAACCATCTTGTTAGTCTTTAAAGTGCTACATTGTCCTGCATTTTGTTTAAAATAATACTTCCATACGAGCTCAAATTTGGGCAATGTTCCCGCTTTAAAATGAGGGTTTCTTTTTATGGGGAACATTATTCTGTTAAATATGAAAATGGTTTTGGATGTGCATAGGCTGATAAATATGACTACTGCCCGAGAACTTTTTTACATAATAAACCTATAAGAAGACTGTCAGCTTCAGCAATTGCTTTGAATGGTCTGAATTTATCAAACAGATCCGTTAGAGTCTGATGTGTTATAGAGTGTAATTATTTAAAAGCAAACAAGTGTGTGTATGAACACAAACATCTTCCAAATAGTCCAGTGTCAATGCCTGCAGCATTGCAGAAGAAAATGTAGAAAGAAATATAGTAGGTTAACCAGCTGGATGGAGGCTGGAACAGCCCCCCCCCTGCCATAAGCAGGGGGCTGCTCCAGCCTTGCGGGGGTCCCACCGTGGACAGAGGCAGTCCCTGTCCACTGCAGGCCCAGGCATCCTGCAGGCAGGGGCTGTCCTACCTATGCCCCCTTTAATTGGTTCACCAGTGAAACAGGTTTTAACATACAGATTCAGTCCTGCAGTCTTTCCTCACTTACAACCAGTGTTGACAACTGACATGATCTTATCACTGTAGGGGTGATGCCTGAAAGCAAAGGAGCTGGAGGGATGTGCTGGCCACGCCTTCTTGCAGCTCCCATTGGCTGAGAATGGCAAATCTGAGCCACCAGGAGCTGCAGGAAATGGTGCCCATGGATGATCAATGTCATCAAAATATCTTGTGGTCTCAATCAGATTATCTTGATGGGCTGCATGCAGCCCAATAGCCACATGTTGACCACCACTCGTTTGGGCCTTATTTTGAGAGAGCTTCACATGGATGGCTTGGACCCTTTAGAGAGCCTGAATGAGAGAGCTTATATAGCTATCATCCTATTTGTTTGCTTAACCTGTTTAACTCTGGGGGTATATCACTTTTCTTTTTTGGTAGTATCAGTCTTTTGATAAAATATTATCAGATAAGAGTTTTTAGTGGCGTTCTACTATCATTCACGGTTATGCATTTTTATCCATAATGTTGATCTTAGAAAACCCTCCAATATCATCAATTCACAGACACTTTTGTGAATTTTCTCTTTTGTAAACTGCATGTTTTCAGTTACTTTCCCTCAGCATCTGCTTGGCAAACCTTGGTGGATTGCAAGAAGATCTGTGTATACCTTGTCTGTCTATTTAGAAATGTGTGTCTGTCTGTCTGTCTTTTCATTCTGTCTGTGAGCCCGTTTGTTGAAAAACTCCTCCTAAATTGTAAGACCTAGGGCCACCAAATTTGGTATGCAGATTCCTCTTATCATAACTTAAAGCAAGGTTAGGGGTTGGTTGTGTCAAGATCATGGGATGTGCCTGGAATGTGATTGTTTCATAGCCAATGGAAAGGGAGGGGTGTGAGAGAAGGGACAGTTATACTCACTCATGACCACAGGGTGGGCAGCAAATGCCCCAATGAGCAGCCGCTGGCTGATAGCACCCGCCAACCCAGCCAGCTCCAGTGAACACTGCCTGCATGGCCTCTCTTATCCCAGGCCAGTCCCAGGAATCCCATGTCCTGTCCTCTTCCCCACTCCCACAGCCCTGGACCAGCCCCTGGAAGAAGCCAGTGGGTGGGGGTGTGCAGAAGCTGGGGTCCACACTCACCCCCTGCCATGAGCTCCTCCTCATCCCCAACCCTAACTCTCTCACACTCCCTTCCTACATCCCCATGCCCCTGCTCTGAGTCTCTCCTCAACCCCAACCTTGACTCCTGCATCCCGCACACCTACAGCTTCCTGTTCCAAAGCTAGCTAACAGAGAGTGTAACCTGATACATCAGGAGTGATGTGATGTGTAACTTGTTTGTACCTGTGTATAGAAGTGCACCCCAAAGGGTGATTGTCAACTGATCATGGTGGGGAGAGCACTATGATCCAGAGGATTTAGTTGGTTTAGTCCATTGTCACGGCTTACGTAGCTGTAGTGGCGAAGCGGCGAGTCTGTCGCTGACAACTATTATTGAATGTCGCTTGGCAATAAACCTGCTTGGGTGCTTTGGATCCTTACCTGATTTGTGGTCTCTGGGGGCTCTCTCGGGAGTCTGTCGTGTTAACGAATTGCACATGGTTAACATGTTAGACAGGGGAGCAAATGTATATATGCACACAGCCAAAAGTTTATCATCATTGACAGAGTAGAGGACTTGTCAGGAACCCATTGGGATGATGCTGCCTTACTGATGACATTGTAGCTTGAAAACAAATTGACAAGTTGAGTATACATTATTGTGGGATGATTTTATGCTTTTTTAAAATGTGCTTTGAACTACTTGCAACAGTGGTCACCAACTAGTAGATCGGGATCTACTGGTAGATCTTGGAGCCTCTGACAGATGATTTTGACTGGTTTGGCCAAAAGGCTATTGAGTCAGCACTTCAGTTGCCCCTCCCATCACTGCTGTGCATCTCCTTCCCTTTGCTTTGGAGCTGACTACCCCTTCCCCCTGGGAGCCTCCTGCTTGCAGGGAAGGGAGAGGAGGGTGCGCTGCTGAGGGTGCCCCCTCTTCCACCCTGTATTCTGTCTTCACAGAATGAGGGGAGGAGGGAGCACAACAGGGCTTGGGATGGGAGGAATTTGATGGCTGCTTTTGAGAGTGGTACAGGGCCAGAGCCTGTCTTAGCCCCATTGCACCACCACCCAGGAGCCACCTGAGATAAGCAGTGCCCAACTGGAGCCAGCTCCGAACCCCTGCCCCAGTTATGAACCCCCTCGTGCACTCTAAGCCCCTGCCCTAGCCCTGAGCCCCCAGACCCAAATTCCCTTACAGAGCCTGTACCCCGAACTCCCTCCTGCACCCCAACTCCCTGACCCAGGCTCAGCTCAGAGCCCCCTCACACTGCAAATCCCTTAGCCCAAGACCAGAGCCTGTGCCCCAAACCTCTGCCATTGCCTGATTAAAGGGAGGAAGAATGAGTAAGGGAGGATGGAGTGAGTAGGGGCAGGGCCTCAGAGAAGGGGCAAAAAGGAAGTGGGACAGGGATATTTAGATTTGAGATCAATCTTACATTGCACTTAAATTAAAAAAGTGATCTTGTGCTTAATATGGTTGGAGGCCACTGACTTAGAATCACTGGCAGATGCTTCACTTGCCTTTTCTAAATGCCAGGTGGAATTGTATGTATCTAATTGTCCTAACTTACTTGTTGGTCCAGACTCCACAATTATAAAATATTATATTTACTACTCTGAATAAGATAGAGAAGGAAAACTGGTACCGTTCATGATGTTTTCAATCTAATCACTAACAGCATTTATATCACCTTCATGCATGGTGAGGGGCAGAATAGGAATTTTCTATAATAATTAAAGCCGTTGCACCCTCTTAATGCTTGAATATATGGACCCTCTGGTGTCTTGACATTGTAATTAAACACCCATAGCTGTCTGACCCAAGCTTGCAAGGCTTGAGAAATGGGCTATACCATTGCAGTGTAGACTTCCAGGTGTGGGCTGGAGCATAGGTTCTGGGACCCTCCCTTTTTGTGGTGTCCAGAACCTGGACTTCAACATTTTTTGAAGTGGTCGCAGGCTACCCTGGAAGGGGTGGGGCCTCAGGCAGAAGAGGCGGGGCCTTTAACTAGCAGAAGTTGAAAGGGCTGGTACCTCCCCTGCAGCTCCTAGGCATCATGTGAGTGGGGGGTGGGAGCTGCAAGCCCTTTCAACTCCTGCTATTTAAATGGCTTGCTGCTCCCAGCCTTGCTGCTAGCATGTTGCCTGAGACACAAGAGCCCTTTCAGCTGCTTCTATTTAAAGGGCTCATGCCTTCCCTGTGGCTGCTACCATTTCCTGGCATCTGCAGGGAAGGCAAGAGCCCTTTAAATAGAATCAGTTGAAAGGGCTCATGCGCCTGGCTCCCAGGCAAAGTGTTAGGGGGCAGGGCCAGGAACAGCAGGCCAGA